GAGGTACGGACGAGTAATAGCGCACCCGTTATCTCCACCTACAGCGGATAAGAGGAACACCCCGTGGGTTTAGTGCGGTCGGGCTGTTTCCCAGTATCACGTAACCCCGTCAGACGGTCTCAAACTGCGGACTTAGGAGGGTAACGGGTGGCGAAAGCCCCTGTGACATGGATCCATTAGGGGCAGACTAAGGGGAGTCCGTCGCTCGTTACTGTTGGACCCAAGATGGCGGCGTACGTGTTCCACGTCTGCCTCTTGAGACTGTTGACGGGGAGACAAGAACTCTCCCCAGGAAGCGAGATCGGGTTCGGCGCCCAGTCGAACCACTCACCGTCGGAGTCGCGAAAGAATGCGAAAGCCTCCCCGTGGCTCCAGCGTGTGCTGGAGTCACGATGAGGAGATGGAACTCCGTCAAATTTTAGTTGGTAGGCGTCCGACATAACCATTCACTTCCCCCGGGGAGGGTATCCGATTGTCTGACGTAAAAAAAAACAAAAAAGGTTAGGTTAGGTTAAAGGTCAGTCTAAACTTCTCGAAAATTTTTAAATCAAGGAATTTATACTTAAATGTGACATAAATATTTATTTTTATTGCACTTTTCAGAGTTAACATAATTATTTCATCGTGTTTTCTTCTCAAGTTCAAAAATTACTTCAAATATCTTCAGATAGATTTATGTTTGATTTACCTATATCTGTTTACTCCCAAGAGTACTAATCAACTGTTGCGTAGCGTGCAAGAGGCAAGGGACTGCGTGTAACCAGAGATTGCGGTGTCCAGTGTCGGCCAACCTCCATACGCACACATACACAGACGACCGCTTGAAATACACTTATCACCGTGTACAGCAAATAACATTCGCGTCCAATAGTGTGGTGAGATCGATAATGCTATTAACGGCAAGTTGGAATAATATTACCGAGAAAATATGGAAATTTACATACTGACAGCCCGCTGTGGCAAAACATGCATATTTACTAAGTAGCTGCGGGACAACAAGATTATTATGCAGATCTATCACGTGTCTTTCATATTATCACAACTACAACAACACAGTAGATAGTAATCGAGGCAACCATCTTATATAGAATTAGCATTTATATTGGCTGAACCGCGTCCTGCTCCGTACATCATCCCGTATCTGTCCATGACAAAAGCCCACAGAAATTTGATCACCGTGATGGAAAACAGGGAAAATTTAACCTTAACAACTTCTTTTTAGGGTTGGGATGAAAATGCGACTGAAACTTCCTGTGTGTGAAAATTATATTCACACAATAACATTTTTAAATAAGCTTATCATTAGATTGTCATGCTGTCTAGCACATGTTGTGGTTTCGTTTTAGTAAGCTTGTTTTGACCAATCGATACACTGTATAGGTATTGATGACCACTGTCCATTTTATCAATTTAACTAATAGTACGAAATAAAATAAAGATATCAATTACTTTCTTCTTCAGCCTAATGAGTGAAGGACTACACATTCTAGTACATGTACTCGCATTCAGAGAAAAAGCTCTTCAGAACGTGACGTCAACGCGGCCAATAGGTTTGTTAGCTTGTAGGTAATCACGTGGCTTCTACTGCCTTTCTGTCTGAAAATACCTACACGTAAGCAACGTACGTAACATCATAACTACCGTTTTCCACGTGACGTTCATCAGTAGACACCAGCTTTCCTGTTGAGGCATAATAAATAATCTTAAATAGTCCTGGTTGAAAATTCGTTTAACTCTAATGGAGAGCACTCTGGTGTGATTTTAAATCGAAGATAATTTGCGATCTCTAGCTAATAGTGTAAGTTAGCGCCTTCTTCGTTGTCTTGGCAGAGCAGAACTCGTGGAATATTACGGAAAGTTCTTCGTTGATTACCTAATAGACCATCTATGATTCTGTTTTATGAACGTTAACAACCGATTTTGTGTTAGGCTTTTGAAGCAAAAGAATTGTATGACTTCTTCAAGTTTGGTCATATTAGACCATATGACTTTTTAGGTTAAAAGATAATAATAGAATTGCTATAAAATATACGTAATGAAAGTAAATAAAGTAGATTCTCATATAATATTTAAATATTACTTTATTGGAGTGTACAAAATATTTCAACGTGTGAACGAGACAAAGTCTGAATTTACGCAAAGTGTACTGTAACAGTTTGTAAATATTTTGATAGACTTGTGGGCACAAGGTCGAGTCTATCCAACCATTTTGTTATTGTTGGTTGAAACATTGATCTAATTGGCTTGCCGACGACACCCGCTTGCAATCAATTTAAGAAATCATTGTACTGAATGTTTTACTATTCAAATCAATAATAATATGCAAACTGAACATCCGTTCTAGTTGACATTATTATCTTTTCCTCTTATTTGGTCGTAATTGAGTTATCTGATACCGTTATAGAGTTTCGCAACAATCTGGGTGTTTCCCAAGTGAGCCAACAAGTTGAATTTTCAGGCAAACACTTCAACCGATATCACTTTCAAGACTCGATGTCAGTCATGAACAGAAACGGTTCATTTGTTTTAACTTTCGAAATGATTTCTCGTTTTGGTATACCAAAGCATTTCAGCTTATATCCCAATCCAGACTCCACAATAAAGAGTATGAGTTAATTAGAAATCTGTCATTTCAATTTAAATTCACGATTAAAAGTACCAATACGAAGAATCCAAGCCCTACAAATAGAATATTTTCAGAAAATTTAATAATAAACATATATGAAAAGAGCACTAATAAGATTGTCTTGTCACAGGATCGGGTTCTTTTATTTCAACAAAGTTATTGAGATAACAAGGAGATGTGCTCCGTTGTGGAGTAGATAAAGAAAACAAGGAAAAATAGCGATGATTTAGAGATTATATGATCTCGAGGTCGTTAACCTCTTCTTACAAAAATAATGTCAATTTTGATTGACAGATTGTTTGTAGAAATTCAATACAGATTTACCAATCAAACTTGCATTTGCATTTCATTTTCCAACATAGAAGCGAAACAAACGAACTTACCAATGGTTCATACAGATACCGATGTCCGCAGCGTCGAGCGTCCCGCCAATTTGAAGCAAGCACCGAACACACGCATTTCTGTAACAGCGAGGTACTCCGCGATCGATACACAAGTCCACTACACAAAACGGTGCAGCTGCACGGGGCACGCCGTGCATCCGACGCTACCACATCACGAATTAATCTCAAGTTATTATTTTACACGTCCACTCATGAGAAAAGCAACCTGAGACGACCGCAACGTTCGAAACCTTAATACTTCCCTTCGCTGCAAATATTGGATAACAGCCTACGACAGAGCTGATCAAATGCCTTCGTTAATATTTTGCAATTTACTTAGAAAGTCAATTAATACTACGAAAAATACTACCTAGGCACCCACAGTCCAAGAGATAATTGAAATATTTCATTAAGAGACAAAATTGCAATTTTTGAAAATAACGACCCACAGAGATTTTATGACGCGTCAGGCGAGTACCAACAAATATGAACAATATGGGGACAGGAACAAGAATCGCGTAATAATAAGAGTCCTCGCGTGGGGATGGTACAGAGGGTGCATTGTGCACCGGCAAATTTCGGAAGGGCCCGATCGAAAAGCCCTTGTTTGTTCCCCCCGCACTTGCGCAAGATGCGAACCAGTTTTGATTTTTATGAATTAACCGTGGAGTTGGCCCGTTCATGAGGGGTCTTTCGTCCCACCGCGGTCACCCCGTTAGAATAGGTAATAAATACCGTCTCCGTGTGACCCAAAATTCTAAAAAAAATTCCAAACCTGATTTCGAACCCTACTCGTTGTGAATTAAAGACAAATAAATGGTCAGGGATTAATGATAAAGAAGTAAAGGGTTTTATTGATCTTTTATATTCGTAGTCTGCAGTCCACCATGAGATATTCAAATCATGTGTGACTTGTATTTGAACCAGTTAAAAATTAAATAGTCTTGGTATTTGACACTCATATTTTAATGATTTATATTAACAACAGAACAGTAAAACACGTTTCGTTTAAATTGCTGATGTTACAAATAATTTTGAAATAAATTAATACCTATGTATAGCGATCCTAACTCTAGACTGTGATATAAAAATCACTGTTTACCTACAGAATAAATAAGAATAAAATCACCCTGTACCCTGTGATATTACAATTACTTATTAACGATTGAATTAAGATATCAGTACGCATCTTAAATTGTATTATATACAGTACTCAGACCAATTACATTGGATATATGAAATGAGCGCGTCCCCATCATATGGCTCCATAATGTAATAGGTGCGCAAAAGTAAATAGGTGTACTATTTTAATTAACTGATTCAGTAAATCAAAGCGAACGTGCTCGCCAAAAGTAATGAAAGAACAAAAGACACAAAAAGGGACACATTTAGTGGTTACGATACATTACCTTGAAACTCATTTAATAATTAACTGTGCAAATTAAGTAAATGCTATAAAATATGCATGAAAGCAAGATCAGAGATTTGATTCCTGAACGAAATATTTAGTTCGTATACGTACTGATAGATGGCGTCAAAGTTGAGTTCACTCCTCTTTTAGCGCTGCGCTAGTGTATCGATTTTGCGTCGCTGCTCAGTATTACACAGGGAAAAAATACATTCCGAGAAAATTAGGCAAAAAACTTATCGACAGCAGTTAAATATAACAAAAAATAAACACACACGTGTTTATCAATGCTAGTTCTTCGAAGTCAAACCGCTTGGCATATAAGGAAGCTTGTTTTTAGTATTAAGAAATCGCTCACTTTATTCGTTTTTGGCAACACCGAAATGTCTATGAATTTGACCCCGAAGCTCGTGTCCCGAGCAGAGGAGAGTGTGGCGTAGGCCCTTCGTTTTTGATCTTCACCGTGTTGAAAATTGTGTAAAATGGGCACATAATAGGTAAATAACTTAACATTTAGCGATTTGCTCCATTCATTGATGGTTTATTCTGAGAAGCTAATTCAATCGTTAGAATTAATCGCCGCCGCGAGCAGTCCACACGGGATACAACTGCTAAGAATATCGTTGAAATTCGTGCAGTGATCATTTTATTGCTGTATAATTCAATTTCAGTGTTATTTTTAAATTAATGATTGTGATTTTGTCAAGTCGCTATTGCGGGTGCGGTACGGATATAGATCATAAGCATTAAGTGGATTAAATAAAATGTCCTCGGGTTTTTGGTGAATGTGTTGAGACAATGGTGTATCGATTATTTTGCGCTAACGAAATGTCATCCCGGTGCCGTAGTGTTAATATTAGAAGTCTATGTTTGTGGCCACGATTACTATTGTCTAGGTATCTACGCGTTTTATATTGAGCTTGCAGAACTTCAATTTAGAATGAGTGACCAAAATAGTGACCAAGAATCTCATACGGATAAAACTCGTGCGCTCTTGACAATATCTATTTTTTGAGCATTTCGTAAGTGGAATTTATTATAGTCACTGCTCAAGGAAAATATAAATAGCTTTATAAAAAATATACGCTACGCTAAACAAACACGAAATGTGTTTACATGTAAATGTCTTCGTTAAAATGAGAAGTTCAACTGCTACGAGGTTGAGAGTTTAATTTTGTTCATCATAATTTTCAATGTAAAAATGTCTCACTATTGATCAGAGCTTATACATTATTTAAAGGCACCGAGCAAATAACTATTCGTTCCTTTTCTTTTATTTGCTAAGTTAGTATATCTTAAATATAATCTTATTTTTACTACTGTATTATAAATAAAATATTTAGGTCAAATATTGAATCGAAACATATTTTTTTTTATTATATTCAAGGAAGATAACTTGTGGGTAGATGATTTACATCTCGTAATCTGATACAACGTGTTTTGAAAATATTAAGATTAAAAATGTATTCGGGCTAATTCCATAAAGATTTGAAACAGATATGATATTACTAGCGCACATAATTATTAATAAAATGTGGACTTTATGAGGAAGTTTCTGACTTTAATCTAAAGATGATTTACATCTCGTGCGTCAACGTAATCGTCATCTTAAACGACGCCTTTTGAAAACGTTAAAATAATAATTTTACTTGTATTTGACCTAATTCCGCGCATATTATATGAACTAGATACGATATGGCTGGCGCACATAAATTAAGAAAAAATAAGATTTTATATACATATAATACAATCTTTAATTCTATTTTTGTGACCTTAATCTAAAACCATCATCTACATGATACGAATGCGTATCCTAATGCATTGAAAGCTCTAAACCTTGTTATAGGCTTTGACTTCATAGGTTGAAAGGCTTCAAGAATCCTAAATTCAATCTTTATAATTCAGATGCGTGGTAAAAACCGCGAGGGTGCGACCTCATTTTAGCAAACTAGGCAGTGCCGATCATAGTGATTTATATAAAAAAGAAAACAAAACAATCATAAAAGCAAAAAGTTAATAACGCTCAAAACGTTGCTCCAAGAGTCACTCCACTGTCACATGACTGTTTTGTATTTTAAATGATAATGCTAAGACGTTTATATTTGTCGTGACATCGTTATGATAATTATATTGTAATTTTATTCGATTTTTTCTTGTTTCAGTTATCTACTGTGACAGACGAGATCCGTGCTCAAGTCTACTCAGCTAGTTATCTTACTGAAGCTGGTAACGTAAGTACATTGTTTTAAGAATGGCCAACCCAAACCGTGACGGTGTTAGCACTCGCTTCTCCGATAATTATGAACTGAAAGAAGAACTAGGAAAGGGAGCGTTTTCAATAGTGAGACGAGCTGTTCAAAAATCGACTGGATTTGAATTTGCTGCCAAAATAATCAACACTAAAAAACTCTCATCTAGAGACTTCCAAAAATTGGAAAGGGAAGCTCGAATTTGTCGGAAACTACAACATCCCAACATTGTGAGACTGCATGACTCTATTCAAGAGGAACATTTCCACTACCTCGTTTTTGATTTAGTGACTGGAGGAGAACTGTTCGAAGATATTGTGGCTCGAGAATTTTATTCTGAAGCTGATGCGTCACACTGTATACAACAAATATTGGAATCAGTACACCACTGCCACCACAATGGAGTTGTGCATAGAGATTTAAAGCCTGAAAATCTTTTACTAGCCAGCAAGGCTAAAGGAGCCGCTGTGAAATTGGCTGATTTTGGATTGGCCATTGAAGTTCAAGGTGATCAACAAGCATGGTTTGGATTCGCTGGTACTCCGGGATACCTATCACCTGAAGTCCTTAAAAAAGAGCCATACGGCAAGCCAGTGGATATTTGGGCATGTGGTGTCATTTTATATATATTGCTTGTAGGTTACCCACCGTTTTGGGATGAAGATCAACACCGACTATACGGTCAGATCAAAGCCGGGGCTTACGATTACCCATCTCCGGAATGGGACACAGTTACTCCTGAAGCTAAGAGCCTGATTAATCAAATGCTGACGGTAAATCCCAGCAAGAGGATTACGGCGTCTGAAGCGCTGAAACACCCATGGATCTGTCACCGCGAGCGCGTAGCTTCCATGATGCACAGGCAGGAGACTGTAGACTGTTTGAAGAAATTCAATGCCCGTCGCAAACTCAAAGGCGCAATCCTAACCACAATGCTTGCTACTCGCAACTTTTCTGGAAAATCCATGGTGACCAAGAAAGGCGACGGTTCGCAAGTCAAGGAATCGACTGATAGCAGTACTACTTTGGAGGATGATGATTTGGACAAAGACAAGAAAGGTGTGGATCGTTCGTGCACTGTTATATCTAAAGAGCATGATGACGACGCGCTATCAAAAGCAGACTCATTTGGCAAAACTCGCGGAGACAGTAATGCTTCGTTACGCCGTGCTGAAGTGATTAAAGTCACGGAGATTCTTATAGATGCTATAAACAACGGAGATTATGACACGTATTCCAAGCTATGCGATCCTAATCTGACCGCATTCGATCCTGATGCATTAGGTAACTTGGTGGAAGGTGTAGAATTCCACAAATTCTTCATCGACAACACCCCGACCCATGTCAAAACTAATACAACCATTCTAAACCCTAGAGTTCATCTCCTTGGGGATGACGTAGCTGTAATAGCATACGTTTGCGTGACACAAAGTGTGGATGCAGAAGGCCGACGAGCTACACATCAGACACAAGAGACTCGCATATGGCACAAACGCCACAACAAGTGGACGGCGGTACACTTCCATCGCTCCTAACTAGTCCCTTCTTTAACGCTGTGCCCAATGCCAAAGGGTCGAGGTCTCCCGAATCAAGCTATTTGTAATGGCACCATTGCAAATCCTGTAACTTTTCAAAATATTCAATAGATTCGGAGACCTCATAGCTAACAATCCTTCGGCAGCGACTTAAAAATATATAAAAAATTTAATATCCAATTCTGCTATAAAATTACACGAATTTTATTAGAAATTCTTTGTAATCTCAAGGAATTAAGTTAATTACATATAGGTAAATGTTATTCTACACCAGTATAAGCAATTCGAAAGTTACCTCTCATTCTGATAACGTCACTTTATAAACTCCTAAGGTAAAGCATAACAATGTGGCTAAAATGTGATACCGTTTAAATATCCAATGCTTTGTGCTAGTTATTAGAATGTAAACCAAACCTGATCTCGGGCACAATCGAAGATTGTCAACGAAAGTCGAACTAAATTGCTGTTATTCAGCAAGATAAGAAATCTCACCGTACTGTCAGATCTGATACTAATGAATCTACATTGTAAGTACCTACCTATATAAAATCAGTAAACTTTTCAAGGTTTAGAATTATTAGCACATTTCTCAGTAAGTCTCTCTACATTTTTAACTATGAATGTTTTGTCGTGCTTAAAATGGTGTTCTATTTGTTATCAAATACCTAGTTAGTAAGATTTAAGTAACTAATGATGCAGTTATTGGCACTATGCACCCAACGAGAGGACTTCAAAGTAGTGTAACTTTCTAAATACCTATAGTATATTACTGATTTAGTATTCCCTCAACTAGTATTGTAGCTAGAGCGGATTTATTGTAACGTTTTAAATATTTTAAGTGAATTATATCAATTTCGTCAATTTTAGATTTTAACGTTAATGTTATTATGCTTTATTTCCGCGTGATCATGATGTATTTGTTATATTTAATTGTTCCAAATATGTTGATTTCTTTAGCGACATTTGTTTTGTACCTGATTCAGTACCATAATTGTTTATAATTGAACAAATGTACGTATTAATCCTAGCTAATAAATTTTAAAGTGATAACTGTGCAAAGGGTGGTGACGGGTGACGGTAGTTGGTTTTTATATTTCACGATAAGAGGAGCTTGTCAACAGTGATATTAATGTGTAATGTAAGGTGTATTTGCACAGTTTCACTTTTGAAATGTGCTTTAAACTATTGGATCTATATTGCTAAGTCTGCAGTAAATTCAGTATTTCTTAGAAATATAATTAGATTGTAAAAGACCTTTAAACCACGTTTTTACAATTTTGTAACATATTTTAATATAGTTAGCAAAAACTTGATTTGTAACGTCAAAGTTGGAATTGTATTTGTAAAATGCATTGCATAATATTAACTTATATATACTTGGAAAATCTGGCATTTTCACAAAGTATACCGAGAGAACACAGTTGTGCCATTATCATTGAATTTAGTGCCAATAACTGTAATAATAAAAAAACTGTATTCTAGTCCCTATTGTTATGCATATTTAGTATTTAATCAACGTTTTTTAATTAATTTTGAACATATACATAAATAGTAACTTACATTATGTACATAGATATTGATTTGCACACAGCATGTTTAAAAGTGTTGTTTTCAAAGTAAGCTAAATATTGAATATTTCTTTATTAATGTTTATAATGTTCGTTATTAGAACACATTGAATTTATTTATTTACTCCTGTTATAGTTTGGCTCTCCAATGTAATATAGCGTTTTGCAATCGAATTTATGAGGGAGTTCGTGAAACAGAGGGCGCTCACACGTTAAACGTTCTTGGTATGTATTGCGTCTGAAACGTGACGCATGCACAAGGCGTTCCGACGGCTTCGGTAAATGTATGGGATTTTACAAAAACAGAAGTGAACGTGAATAGTGTAAATGCGAGATCGCCTCCTGTTTGACGAGTCCTTAAGGGATGAGCTCACTGGATGCTAATAGGTATCTTTCGACATGTTTTTGGGCTCTAGCAACGTCAGTGAAGTATATTAACCGTAAAAGAAAAGCGCGTTAGTTCCCTGAATTCTAGCTCTTAAATGTGTAATGTACCACGCTAACGTCAAGTAACAATTAGCTAGTCGATCCAGCTAAAACTAGACAAACGCTTCCTTAAAAACGAAAGCACTAGAACCTAGTGGGCCCTACTAACTGAATGGTAAATGTAGGCAATTTATCAATGTCTGTTTTTAAAATGTTTCTATTTTTCAGTCTTATATGATTATGGACCCGTTAAGATGTATAGGTACATTTACAGTTAATTAATTCAAACTTTTTACCTACTTGTAAAAGTCATTAATTATAATAATATTTACATCATATTCAAATAAAAATTTTCATGTCCAAAAAAACATATCTATGGATCAAATTTTTATTTATCATTTTTGTTTTCATGATGCACTTAATATTTTAAACAAAACCAATGGCCGGATTAACTTCCCAGTGACATGCACAAATGTACCTATTTAAAGTTCTTCTAGATAACACCGTGAAATGGGATGTTGAGCCAGAAACAAACTATGTATACGTCTTCCCTCAACAGTGTTCCAAAGAAATGCCAATAGAATTTAAAAAGAAAATTGTTCCGAATCAACTTCAAATATAAAACTTACTAAACTTCTTTGAAATATTAAAAAATAGCTCTCCGCAAATTGTTATATAGTGCACATTTACCCTTTGCATGCATTTATCTCACCGGCTTTTACATTTAGGAGGGCTTTTTTAATGATATTGAAATTTTTCTATTGGCTGCATTTTAATTACATCTTTCAATAAATAACTTCAATAAATTTAAATTGTTTTAAATCGAAAGTATACATAATTAAATAAATGTACTTAAATTGAACACTCCAGGTTACCATTTGCATACCTCACTTGGTATATAAGACCATAGTGTTTACCGTGTGGCTCAAATGGTTTCCTGAAATTGTTATATCTTAGATAAAATTACCTATGTATTATATGGGTGCTGTGCAATATGTTAACAGTTTGTCACAGGATACCTACTTATAGTAAAGAGCATAATAAATTTGTTGTATAATTTAAAACATTATATTGTAGTAACTTGCTGGTACTTCTTTATAGTAAAATCTTGACCATTCAGCTAGAGTTATTGTAATGTGATTTGTGTTAAATTTTTATCTAAAGGAGAATATGTTATATATTAGGGCATTATTTAATTAACCTATTCAATGTAAGGACTTTTTAGGGTGTGTTGAATTGTTTAGTCGAAATTAATATCAAAGTTGCACCTATCTAGATTGTGATTGAGATTATTTTTATGTATTTTAATATTAAAACCAAAGTATTTCATACCTGTGTACTTCAAACGCACCTCATTATTTCATTTAGAATTCGCTCCTTGTTAAGAGAACTAAGTTTTTGTAGAATAATTTTCAAATGTGAAAGTGTAGTTGTATTAAAGAATTATCGGTAAATTTGTATTCAACATAATTTCTTGACCTCTGCATTGCCGATTGTCATGTAACATTCTCTAAAATAAAGTTCTTTTGATCTAAAATAGCATTTTAATAATCCTAATGTTGGTACTGTACGAATTACACATCTTATAAGGAAAAAGCAAATTACTTACAAGGAAAATAGAACAATAGCTGCACTAATCTACTGTAAAATACTATTTTATATTACATCACATGCACAATCATAAGAAAAACAATTTAAAATAAAACATACCTTTCAGCCGTCAGTTAAGAAATTTATTTTTGAATAAACACTTTTACAGCCATCCTGTGTTACATTGAAATGTACTAAAATCTCAGCCAGCATCATCTCGTCCAAAGGTAGTTGCAAGTTTTTAAGTTCTGTGATGATACATTGAATCAAATGGTCTAGTTTCAACCTATTAAACTTAATGTAATACATCGCAGTCTTAATACCGTGTAGATTTTGTTTCAATACATGTAAAAATTCTTCATTGCATCTCTTAATGAACCCTTTGGTAACAATATCACAGTTGTAAATTAAAATTATTGTCATTCTTTTGCCTAAGTCTTTGCTTTTGTCTATTATTTCTTCTATATGTTTTTTTATATTTTTGTCCTTGATTGTTAGATCGTCCACTACTACTAAGGAATTGTTACATACAGTCATACCAAATAAGTATTCTGGAGAGAAGTCATCAGCAAAACTTGGCATTGTAAAGTGGTAGACATTAGAAGATGATAAGATGTTCTCTAAAATCATAGATACTGCAAATGTTTTGCCCACTCCTGTACCACCATAGATAACCAATATTTTAGTCTTTTCATTTGTTTCTAAAGCTTTCAATATATTTTGGACAGCCTCCACCTGCCCATACAAATTTTTAGACAATTTGTGTTCAATCATATCCAAGTCTATCTCTTCTAAACATTTGTAGCCAATAATTTGATGCGTAATTATTGAAATGATTAATATTATTAAACTGATTATGCACCAATAAGCTTTAAGACCAAGTGATTTCTGATTTTGTTTCCGTTTCTGGTCTAGATTGATGTGATATCTTTTTACTTTGGTGTAAGTCAGTGATACTGGAGTTCTTGTTGCCCCGGTGAACTTTAGCATAGATGTATCACGGGAGTTCTGTTCGTCTTTGATAAAGTTGCTCAGAAATGTGACATTGTCCTCTTTTTCTTGCTTGACAACGCTTGACATTGTTGATGATGTGTCATAAAAATCCGGTTCTTGTTTGATAAAGTTCTTCAAGATGGACATCTTACTGTACTGCATTTCTCGTTCAAGAATGCTTGTCACTGTAGAAGAATCATCAAAATCTTTTTCTTTCTTGACAATGCTTAAGTCAATATCATTACAAGAAACGTCCATTTTAGACGCTGAGCTGCCGGTGACGTCTACATCCATGGGCTCGTATTCATCCATGGCGCGCTTATGTTTGTTGCCTATATAATGGTAAAAACTTTGGTTAGGTTTCTCGACCAAATTTCGTCATTATAACAAAAATTACAGTACAATTGATTTCTTAGGAATATTCTTATAAAATTTATGTAAACCGAACTGCAGTCCTGTACGTTTATAGGCTGTACTCTATAAAATCTAAATTTGAAGTTAAAAACAGTTTTGAAACACGCAAAGTTCTCGATGAACATGGAACTTTTAAATTACATATTTACCTGAGTTATCAATATATTATCACATAAAAACTTGTCGGTAATATTCACTACCAATGAACATTCGAAAAAATAATTTTATTTTTCTATAAAACAACAAAAAACCATGACAAATTACTAAACAAAATTGGTAACAAAATTTGAAAAACAAACGATACCACATAATTTTTTTTTAGCTTGTCTATGGTCTTTTGACAGATTTAGAATTATTTGTCGTAGTAGACAGAGACCGATATATACAGTATTCGCAAACAATAATGGCTGATTCTTTTTTTCTAACGCGGTTATAAAAATCCAAAAAGCGATACAACTTTAAGGACCCATTGTTAATTTATTTGTTTTGCTGCATTTTTAAGCTGATTGTCTCGTAGCCAATGCTCAATGAATAAAAGAAAGGACCCATTCGCCTTCGTATTATTTGAGTTCCGAGATAATATTAACTCATATAAATAGGATGAGTGATTCGCTCTGGATCTTTTGGAGGAAAAAGTGTCGTTTTTATTTTGACTTTCAATTATTTTGTGAAATCTAGTTTAAAGTGGAATAGGATAGTGCTATTGTGCCTTAATCGAAGATTAAAACGGGAAATTATACGAATCTCGAACTAAAATACCCGTATCGGCCCGTTCTAAAGAATCCCGAGTCAATCCAAACACGCCGCCTCAAATTGCCTATCCTCTTTGTGGCGGGCATATTTACAGAAACAATTAAACGAAGACATGCCTCAAAAAATAATGTACCAAGACTTGGCTGTATAGTGTAAAACCTTTGTCTTTTCTTTTATGGAAAGAAGAAAAAAAATCATATAGGTGATAAAAAATAGTATTAACTAGACATGGCAATAACGGCTGTTTGTCATAAATCCTAAATAATTTACAAACGCTTCCCAAATTAATTACTATTACTCTTATGAAAAATTTACTAAAATCTGGTTACAGTTTAATATTTCTTGAGCCTACTTACTTTTTTATTTTTAGAATTTAGGCGTATATCCATCCATTACAGTAAGCATTTTGAATAAAAAAAAGAAGTTCTAAATGTAACTTTTGCACACAAATATTTGACTTTTTGGGTAATAACATGTAATTCTCGACTCAAGGGCCCTGGCGACACCACGGCAACACATCAGCGTCCACAATCATGTTAATCTGTTATTTGTAGTTCAGTCAAATTAAATCTGCTACTGTTGTAAAACTGTTGTTGTTATTGACTATAATCGCTAACCAATACCAAACTAAATGGTTGTTTTGGCACCAGTTGTATTTAAATTTATTGATATTAGCTGCCTGTCTACATCAAATATTAAAATCAACATTATTCCAATTGCATAAAGCACAATATTGTAGTTTCAAATATGTGACGCATAAAAAAGATAATACATAAGAATAAAATATAAAATGAGAAAGAGAACTTATGTTGTACACTGAAATATTATAATCGTGAGATTTGCAAATCGTAACATCGTCCAATCATTTGAATATCGTCTCTCGTTTCTCTCTCATAGCTTTTGGTTATTGCATACTTGCTTGTTCGCGCGACTGAATTGCAATAGCAGAATAGCAGTATAGCAGCAGACTGTTGTTCGATGATGAATTATACATTGCGTAAGAATAATGCATTACATTAACTAATGTTGTAATAATGACCACTTCTAATAATAACCATTTATTTTCAACATTCACAATACAATATATATGTTTTAATTAATTTTTTTTTTTACTCACATTTAAATTTTAATTTTATTGTACAATAATTAGTCCCGCAGACTTCATTTTTCACCTAGGCTAGGGTTGGCTGGAAGAGATCTCTTCTAGAGATAAGCTCACCTTTGTATAATATGTCCTTTATAACTTGGGTTTCATGTATCTTTTCTTTGTGCAATAAAGAGTTATTATTATTATTACAATTTATAAGTGTTAGTAAAATGTACGTACTTATGCTAGTGTTAGTATTAAAATAATTAAGTATATTTCGATACCTCATAAGAGGTACCATATATTTTACCATATTAATTTTTGAACTTGTACTGTTTTTATTTTGTTTTTGTTTCTTTATTTTTTTTTCACAAAATTCGGGGAGTGTAATATTAGTAAATAAATATAGCTGTTTACAAAAATAACGGAAAATAAGCAAAAAATACTATTGGCGCAGTGTTCATTGGAGGTATTGATTTTTAGTATGTGGAGTACACGTGTTCGCTATAAATAATAATATTGTTAACCGACATGTCATCCCACATTTTTAATGAAAAATGTTGTTATTGTATGGCATTTATTATTAGACCAAGTTAGCCAACGTGTTCACAAACAAATGTCACATGAAAAAGTTTGCTACACCTAAATATAACGGAAATAACTCTTTATAGAGTAATAAAGCTTCCAAATTTTCAATTTCATCACTGTTTTAAGTTAAAGAAGTTCAGCTTTTGACTGGCAGAAACACCATCAAAACGACCGTTAAGCGATTGCATTATAAGATTTACCATGTATGAGCATTACTACACACCATTATTTGCGAACACGTTAACCATGTTAGTATCAGCAGACACGTTCACTGTGTATGACCCGCAGGGGAATTGATGTGTGGTATGATGCATAGAGCCTAATTTAAATGAACGAAAAATAAAATAAGAATATAACTCGAATGTGACCTTAAAAAAAAATTACAGGCATCTACGCTTTTGTCTCTGGTACGACTGTGTTTGACAGAGCGGCGAGGTGAGGTCATTGTGCTTGTGCTATGAATTAATTTTGGAACGTTATTTTTAAAATGTGTGATAATAATGATAGCCCAAAAAATAGTAGTTGTTATAAATCTACGCCTCCGACAAATAGGAAAGTGCGGAATCCTTTTGATAAAGCTTTGATTGATAGGCTACATAAGCCGATATGCAGGTAAATTACTTGTTTAATATGTCATCGAAGCTATATTGGTATTGTTTTTTCGCAATAAGGTTTTTGTGTGTTAAAGTCCGGGGATGTGCAAGATTTACAAGAAGAAGAGCAGCGGTTCGTTCCGCTGGGAAATAGACCAAGCTTGTAATCTGGTTCCTGCCGATATCGTCGCTTGCAACAGCCAATTCGAACCGTCCCCTGACCCCGCTTTGGAGAGAATCGCTGAAGAAGCAACAGAGAAGTGAGTTCATTATTAATATAATTTTAACACGTGTAGCTGGCGGTCGAGCTTGATGTGTGATACATACTACAATGACTAACAGGGTCGAGACTACCGCTTGACACTTAAGATTTAAATTCAAATCTATGCCGCTTACAATGTACTCCAAAACTAAAGTGACACTCTTGGTGTGCTATTGACTATACTAGTGTTTAATTTTAAAGATTTGTCTATTTTTAATTGTAATCTATTTTTGAAAGAGTCCTTGGGTCAGTATATCATGGATTTAAATTATTATGAGCCTCCAATCCTTTATTACAAGTTGTTTCGAGATTTCTTATTGAAAATTCCATTTTAAAATTTAAAGTGAGGGTCTATGCAGTCATTAGATATGGTATGGTAATTATTTAAATATATGTAGAATATCATCATGAAGTATTATTTAATATTCAAGTGGTAACCTGAAATATTCTTTAATATTTCACAATGATATATTCAAGTATTAAATAATAAAAATTGTCACCGAAATTGAGTACAACAGACTTACCTGAAAATTACTGAAATATATACTGACTGACGTATTACCGTACCGTACTAGTAGACCGACCACTGTATTTAATCAGCTGTATGATAATACATATACAGAAAGGAAGTTAATAAATAAGAACAAGTTAATTCCAAAGAATCGTAGCAGTGCGGATTATGTGTGTGTACGCCTGCCACGCTCCATGTACGGACGCAGACATTTGCATAATCATGAAAAGTGCCTGGGATAAACCAACGTTATGCAACGCGAGTGCATCGCAAGATTATGCGAATGTGTGTGTCAGTACATGAGACGCGGTGGGAGCTGGTTTATTGTCTGATGTCTGTACAAGAAGAACCTCGTGAGGTTTAAATACAAATTAAAAGTAATAAAGAAGTGCTAACAACTATATAAATCTAGGTTGCAATTCTGCAACTAATTAATAAAATTACGCAAGGTTCTAAATCTTAATTAAACTAGGTAAAACAAACATCGTTTTCTGATGATGCTGAGGCTGCATCCTTAACTCGCGCGCACACATGTTACGTTTGTATGGAGTTACCATATCTTGTGTGTCTAAGGGTCGTATTCTAGAACTCTATTCAGTGTCTTATTATACTTATATTGGTATCTTTCGTTGCATTGAAACGTCTTTTTGCTGTCTGCTAGGTAGATATTGTTACTATTAGGGTGGCTTCATTAAGGGAATGTGCAGCAATTCATCGCTATGACCAGCTGATGATCTATTGTGATCATTATTCATTATAATTTAGGGCTAAGTCTAAGAGCGCACTACGTCTGATTCGTATCAGGGGGTCTACTCTCGATCTCCGTCCGACATCCGTCCGAAACAATTACTGCCAAATAAGCAATCCTTGACCAAATGAAAAGACGCGTGATGCGAATGAAGCTTCATCTTGATACTTGTCTTTTAATTTTGTCGAATATTACTTATTTGACAGTAATAGTTTCGGACGGGTGTCAGACGGAGATCTAGAGTAGACCCTCAGTTCCGAATCCGAGAAATGACAGTCCGAAACTTAGAGCATAGTCCGAAATGTCACAGGCGTCCGGAGTGTCCTTTTTATCTCTAGGTGCACAAGCGACATCCGAAGTGGGTCTGGGTTTTCTAGATTTGTATAGTCTCGGTTTTGGAATGAATGCGAATCACATGCAGTGCGCAAATGCGCTAATAATGTTGAAAATTGAAGGATACTGGCTTGGATTGTTTTGATCACTTCAGCAGAGCTAGCACGACAGGGCGCGACTTGCGCGAGAGCGATATAAAGCGCGAAATGTCTGCGAGAATAGCAATAACAACACTTTATGTTGCTCTCGTGCTAGGCTAGCGGGTTAGGCTATTTGTTTGGCGAAAAAGTATTTTTTTTTAATAATATTAAGTGACGGGACGAAGAAGTCGTACGCCTGATGGTAATCAACACGCCTGCCCATAACAGTTACAGTGCCACTCAGAGCCTTAAATTGCAAAAATCTGAGGGGCACTACCACTGCGCCCGTCACCCTGAGACATAAGTTGACAAGTCCCATGTGCCTGTAATTTCGCCAGCACCCTTACCCCTTCAAAACCGGAACACAGTAATGCTGACATTACTGCTTGGCGGCAGAAATAGGTAAGATGGCAGTACTTCCCTGGACGAACTCTTTCATAAGGAGCTCTACTGCTACTAAAATATTATAAGTATTGTGCGACTATCAAGGGGCAGCATTGGGTAAGGAGTTGCAGAGGAGTTCCTGACAGAATATGGTTGGTTAGAGCCCTGGTCCGCGTTCTGTTACCATTTCAATCTAGTGCCAGTGCTTCTCTACAGTATTTAGCACTGTAGGAGTTAATCAGAGATAAATTAGACAACCTCAGTGGCTCAACAGTTGGCTGGCAGTTGCGCGCTAGATAATTATGTCACGAGCTGATTTCCTGGTAGCACCTATTTGGGAAATGTACTTTTCTGAATTGGTTGCGGTCAGGGTGACAAGGTAATTGTTGTGGTTGTCTGCCACATTAAAAAACCTTAACTTAGTTGAATGCTTTTTTCTCGTTTATTTGTTATATTTCATGACACCTACAGAAATATATATATAGGTTATATAGGTCTAGTATATATAGGTTACGAGCCCTGTACCCCATCTACGGTGGGGTCGGGCTCGGCCTGCGGCGTGTGGTCTGGTTCAGTTTACGGGGTGCGCTCATGCTCTTCGGTGGCACAGCAGCTTGATGAGGAGGTCGATTCCCGATTTGGGCCAATTTAAGAAACGAACATTTCTAAGTTGGTTTTGGTCTGAGTATTCTGGTTTATCGTTGTTTTGGTATTCATAGTACAGGAAATTCGGCAGTAGTTTGGTATTTTTTCCCCCTAAATACTTCTCTTTGGCATAGCTTTCAAGAAAATGTAATCTAACAGATATGTTTGAGATACAACAACGCTATAATAAGTAACTCATTTCCACTACATCGGGAAGTACGCCTTACATTTTTACAATTGTGAGATCTTGTACTCGTAATCTATTACGACTTCGTATATAATCACCTCCATACGAAGGCGTGCGGAAGCTTCGGGATTCGCCCTCCGCGGACCTCGACCTGCGGCCTCGGCGCTTTGGATTTTGATTTAAAAAAATTAAAATAACTCTTTAATCGTGGCCGCCATTAAAGAGCTATTTAAATTTTTTTATTTAAAAATTACAAAAATATATTATGACCACTAATTATTATCAAGCAATCTTAGAAATCTTTTCGTGCTAATTTTCAGTCCGAGCAAAGCAAGTTACGTAAATAAATTACGGCTATATCGAAAAAAACGCCATACTAATAAATTTTCAATTTTCAGCCGGATCGAAGCAAGTTTTTCTTCGGCCGCCATTTTGAAATCGCCATCTTGAATATTTTTAACCTAGGCAGTTGACCAGTGTTACCCTCTATGACATTCCTTCGAGCACCTCCTACCTATCTCTAATAGTTTCCGTGATAGGAGGCTTTGAAATTTGTATGGCGGCATTCTTGTTTACTTGAATTTCGAACATTTTTTACTTCCCGCGGAAATTCACCAGGTTGTATCTCATAAAAATGCACAAAAATTCCGCCCATGTATTATAGCATGTATTATTATAGTTTTTGCAGGCCGTTGATCACTCGTTTACATTTTCCACATTCAGGTCTTCTCATATTTGATTCTTTGCCTTGGAGCCTATCCGCGTACAACGGTATAAATATATTTTTTCCACCATATCGCCGCGTTCTATTTATATTAGCGAGTAAGAACTTGTAGCTTTATATATAAATTTGTACCCTTATATATATAATAATAACTTGTAGCTCTATATATATATAATATTGATGTGCTTTGGATAGCCTGCAATCACAAGGAAATGTTGAAACACAAACACATCAAAGTTTATTACTACCAAGTCATAAAATTTTCATAATTTTCCACCTGTTTCGGCATTATAGGTACTATTTCAGGCTTAATTACTGTGATTCAAAGAGGGTCTTCTTGGCCACCAGTTTCTGCCTCGCCTCCCGGTTCGGAGCTTGGTCCTTCCAGTCACTACTACCGAACTTCTTCAGGCCTTTCTGGACGCTATCGCTCCACCGGTACCTAGGCCGTCCGACGGGTCGACGTGCACTCGGTCGTCTTAAGTACGCTCTCTTCGAGGCAGGGGAACTCTCCTATTATGTCCACGTGACACGTTTCTTCAGCAATATTGGGTCCGGATTTCAGATATTCTATCTTCTACCTTTGGTTTATATCGTAGTTGTTTAGTGGATGTAATTATTATAATTTTTTTTTTCATTATTTCAGATTTTTCTCTCAAGAAATGGTAATGCCTAGTCCTCTCGAGTCTTCCAAGAAAGTGAAGCCCTTGCAAACCTCTACTGGCTCTAGTCTTTACATAAGTTTTGCCAAGGAAAGCGTCATCACAAGGGAAGGTGAGTATCTTGGTGGTACTGTTCGTTTTTTTCTTTGAAAAACTTTATTATTTATAAGAAAAACTAAAAAATTAACTCACCTTTTAATCGGTGTCCTTTTAGTCGGTTATTCAAAAACGTATGCCAGAACATAAGGCATCGTCGCGTGAAAGCTCATACGAGCTTCAAGGAGATCATAGGATCTGCCATACATTTGTGTAAATTATGGGTGCGTATGTTTGTTCGTGTATAAAACTTTATTTGACGTAACGATTAAAATCCAATTAGCACAACATAAGGTACAAATTAAAAGATTGCGTGTTTTTTGGTTGCAAATAAAAAGTAAATGTAAATAAAGGTAATAAAAACATCAAAGGTTCTATTACTTATTCATACTTGGAAGGTAAGAATCAAAACAATCTAAATCAAAATTACTACATTTCATAAGTAACAAAAATAAAATAATATAAGAAATTGTCACGGTTTGTTTTTTAAATTCGTTCTTGTGTGAAAAAAAAATTTGCATTGTATTGTGAGTCAGATATCACAATAGAGTTGGACTTTACTCTGCTGGTTGCATTGTGATACACATGGATATGACGCTGTAGTTTACAAGAAATGAGATTGTCTTATTCATAAAGATTGAAGTAGTTACTATATAAATACACGATCGAACTAGACTCTTCTGTATACATTTTAAGAGCTACTGGAGACCCCGCTGTATAAATTGTTAAATCCGTCAATCGATCGCATCGATCCATTACCAAACCAACCGATCGACGTCGATCGATAGGGAACACAGTAATAATGTGCTGTGTTCCGTATTGAAGAGATGGAAAGGCCAGTCATATAAGACATATATTATCTCAAGGGCGGCAACGCATTTGTCATATAAAGGATCTTTCATCAGGTGGATCGTCTTGACGATTTCCCAGATGAAATACTTTTTTATCTCTCTGGATTTTATTAAGTGTTTTCTTGTGATATTGTTTTTCTAATGGGGTAAATAAAGAAAGAGCAAAAAAAAATCTAAATGCACCGATAACAACTAAACACTACTTTAAACACACTTCATATACCCACCACCACAGACATATATGTCGGTGTCAACCACACACACACACACACACAGAGCACATACATAATGTGACCATACGTCCTGCATTGAGCGGGACGTCTCGCTTTTAGGTTTCGTGTCCTGTGGTCCCCAAAATACTTAAGACTGTCCCGCTTTTACAAAACAGAACACACGTAACAATACATTTTAAAGAATGGCGCAAATGAAAAATATGTAAAGCCAGCCAACCAGACATCGAGCACCAGACCAGGATTTTTTTTTATTCATTGAAATTAAAACAATTTCTAATTTATTCATTGAAACAATTTTAATTCTTTTTATTTTCTTTTATCATTAAACATTTTGTAACTATCATAAACATTTCTAGTCATGCATTTTATTTTTAAAACAATAATAACTTTACAGGCGTCCCGCTCTGAGGGAAAAGAAAATAATGGTCACGTTACACATATACAACCCAATCAAATCATACATAAACGCAATCATCAACAGTTTTTAATCATGTGTGTAAACCATTGACTTACAATTATATGGACGTCGGGTCCGCACTAAAAAGTGTCCGAACTAATAGGGCGTTAAAATCGTATACAGAGCGTCATTCACGCTTTAGTCTTCGTTTGTTCGACTGACAGCGAAGCAAGCACAATTAGACAGTACTGCGATGACATTACAATTTAAATTCAACGTTTTAGCTTTTTCATATTCCTTTACATGTCACTACGTTTAAATAGGTTGACTTGGGACATTTTTTTTCGTGGTTTTTGTATTAGACCCGTCGTCCATTTATTTGTGAACACATTTTTCTCCTTATTTTTCTGTCATACATTACCTTGTATTACTTTTGTTATGTAAAACGTGTAAAATATATTCGGGACAGGCTTAGCGTTTGTCGTACAGTTTTATTATAAAACTAGTAGGGCGCTAGTGTTCAACCACATCGTAAAATACTAATACGTAGGGCGCACTGTAAGTTTCCGGAACTGGCCACTTACATAAACATTATTTAAAAAGTAATTACAACATTTGAAAATGGTACTCTTTAGCTGTAGAATATAGTTTGTTTCATCTGACTGTCACTTGTTTTTACATTGTGGCGTCATTTTACAAATTGGTTGTCTACATCACCATGGATTTCACTCGTCAAAATTTTCGTAGTATGATTTTATACGACTTTAATTGTAATTTAAGAGCTCAGTGGAGCTTCACTCGGCTTCAAACTTCATTTGGGTGTGATAAAGCTGTGCTCTCGGTGGATCCCACACAATTTGACTGAGGCTCAAAAAACGGATCGCGTCACTTGGTGCAATGCCATGCTTACTAGATTAACGAGGAGGCGTCAAATTTTGTGTGGGACATAATAACAGATGACGAAACATGGATTTATAGTTACGATCCCAAAACAAAGCAGCAATCGAGCGTATGGGTCTTTCAAAATTAGCCGAAACCAAACAAAGTGGCGCGCGTGGAAGGTGCCTCTTAGCGGATGATTGCTTCTTTTTTAATAAAACTGGACACGTGGCTACTGTTGCTTTAGAGAATCGTTGTACCGCGAATAGTGATTGGTGCACGACCATTTGTTTGCCGGAAGTTATTGACAAACTCCGTAAATAACCGTAAACGCCGTATCATCTTGCACCACCATAATGCCAGTTCTCATACGGCCAGACAGACAAATGAAATTTTGAAGGTAAACAACGTTGACCTTATGAGCCATCCCGCGTACAGTCCCGACCTGGCACCTTGTGGCTTTTATTTATTTCCAAAAATTAAGAACTAGTTACGCGGTCTACGATTTTCATCATCTGAAAAGGCTGTCGAAGAGTATGAAAAATATGTTTCAGAGATTGTCACGGAGGAGTGGCATAAACGTTTTAAAAATTGGTTCATTCGTATGAAAAAGTGCATTAATGCTAACGGAGAATATTTAGAGAAACAATAAATTAATTTCTGACCATTTATACTATTTTTTTATTCATTCCGGAAAATTATAGTGCACCCCACGTAAAAGAAGATCCCGTTTTCTTGTGAAAAGACACGCCTGTGTTTTAGCCGCATTAAACCTGACCTTTTCGCATCTCCCCATTCGGAAGCCGCTTCTCTTGAAATCTTGCGCGCAAAAGTGTTTTTCGCACGCTAGCGTGGAAAAGGATTTTGAAATTCGAACTTGACAGTGGACTATGGTGCACATAACTTTTTCTTTTCATAAAAAAAAGATAATGACACGTTCAACCACGCGATTTGTCGTACATTACTTATTTATGTAATTTATATCCGTTGGTAAATTTTATTCTTATTCTTGTTGACATTAAATTGACAATGACAACTAATTGTGTTTATTAAATTATTTTAATTTGTCGGAGGAATTCATCGCTCAAAATAAAAGTACAAGCAAGAATAAAAATTGAGTAGGTGTAAATTCAGAAAGCATCCGAAAATAAACTTTTTCTCTTAAATAAAACTGATGCTTTATAGTTCAATTGTTTTTCTTTCATCTACCATTTTCCTCGCTATAGTGGGGTGAAAAGTAGTTTTGCGTCTCGTGCTTTTAAACCCTCGCTACGCTCAGGAATCTATTTTTAAACCACTTTCTTCGCTCTTGGTTCAATCTTAGCTTAGTAACTTTGCGGCCTTGCATAGCAAATAACCATTTAATGCCTGATTTATTGCATTTTAGTTAATAAACTTAGATTCACCGTGAATAAGAAAGCATTGTTAATAGTCGTCAAAAAATTACATTGCATTTTATTAAACAAATTTTAAATATAAAGTTTCAGCTCAAACTGTTCTCACATTGCCGCCGGAGCTGCCTCCTGAAATCGAGAAAATACTGCAGCCCTTCTGCACTTTTACACAGGTGAATGAAACATTATTTCTATTCGTTCTAGGTAAGAGTTTGACCGCAATCTCGATTGATGGTATGTCACGACCAAGAACAAGAGAAAAGTGCACACCGACTTCCATTATAGTATAAATCTTCAAGAATTGAAGTTCTAGACGTATAATGACAATGTCGTTGTTAATTTTCCTCAAGAATAACTTTAGTTACGTGTCCTCTGTGTCAAACGGGTTCCAACTCTCGGTTTCAACGTACAATGTTAGTGACGCTATACATAAATTAATAACTTTTCTTCGATAGCTTGTTGAGAGCTTCTGGAAAAGGTGACCTTCAGACCCAGGATCTCCAACTCATTTACATTTCACAATCAATTACAGCCACAGGCAACGTCACTATGATTTTCTTACGGTTCACGGCGTCTAAGAAACAGTCACACCGACCGTGTAAAACGATTTTTGTTTCTGGAATATCAATATCATTTTCTAATTGGACGTAGCTAAACACACAATTTACACGACATAAACACGTAGTTAAACACGCACGTCACACTGTCACGCGTTAGTATAAAATTATAAAATAAATATTTAAACAAACATAAAAGTAACTAATTAATAAATCCAGTGAAGTTTAAATCGTGCATTATAACAGCGCTCGTGTTGAATATTTTTTCATGCAGTTAATTTTCCCGCCCTCCCTACGCAAACAATTGATAAAATAACACAAGCTCAACTAATCACAAATAATACCTTTAATAAATTATAACTTATTTATCAAAAAAAACCGGCCTCTAAAGTTGGTTTTTTTTGCAATATCAAGAGACGGAACGAATAAATCGTGCGCCGAATCGTTGCAGTGCCACTCAGAGCTTTAAATCGCAAAGATCTTGAGGGGCACTGCCACTGGGCCTGTCATCTTGAGACAGAAATTGACAAGTCCCATGTGCCTGTAATTTCACCAGTACCATTACCCTTCTAAATCGGAACGCAGTAATGCTAATATTACTGCTTGGCGGCAGAAATAGATAAGGTGACAGTACATCCCTGGACGAACTCTTTCACAACAAGCTCTAATGCTGCTAAAATTGTGGAATGCTCTATTTGCCAAGTTTTATATTGAAATCGGTTAACGGAAAGTGGGTGAAATCCAATAAACTAAGAATCTTCTATTTTTTGAAGTCGGTTAAAAATATACCTGACTGTTTTGCCTTTCTACGAGGCATTCTCAAGAGTTGTGGATTGTTTTTCGTCCGAGCGTCATTTATTTTCTTTTTTATAAAAGTAAATTGTAAAAGTTTTGGAAAGTATGCACTATATTTCTATCAATCACAACTTGCCGCTTTATACGTAGATGTCAAGTAATAATTATTCAGTTGCGTTATTTCCAGAACATTTTCGTGATTGCAGGAGCAGAATATCTCCGGCGAATATGAGATTACGGCGAACGGATCGCTGCGGCGGAAACTGTTCTTCGAGGAACACAGTGATATGGAGCACTATGACTCGGAGCAAACCGACGACGAGAATCACGCAGAACGCCCGCTTTCTAGCTACGAGGCGCATACGCCCATCGCCTTTAGTCCTGACCTTGTAAGTATGCTGTATATTAGCTGAAATTTATAGTCCCAATGCCGGTCTCCGTACACATATATGCAGGGGGGTTTCGGCCATAGTCTACCACCACGCTATGATGGTCTTGTATACTTGGCTATAATTGACAAGTATAATAATATTAAAAGTAGTTAGCCCATATAAAGTCACTGCCTCCACTCACGATGAGCAAGCAACGCGGATTGAAAACTTCATACACAACAATAAATTGCTTTGCAGATGTGTGCAGGTTTCCTCACGCTGTTTTCCTTCACTGAAATAATATAATTATGTATAATATAAGAAAAAGTCAAGGTGAGTTTCGGATTAAATTCCGCACACAAATTCCGAAAAATTCATAGGTGCAAGGCCGGATATGCAACCACGCATAACACCCTTTGCTTGATAGGTGGCATGAGAAACCATTAGTATATCACCGCGATTGACAAGTATCGAAAATAATCGAGTATATAACCAGAAATAGAGACGAAATAAGGGCCATATATTCCTGCTAACACATTAGCGATACAGCTCTTATAAATATCAACTCTCGTTTACACTGAAATATAGTCAGGCCAATTACTGACCTGTGTGTGCGTCTTCGTATATTCCAAAAAATATTCTGTATTTATTGTAATAAAGAATATATCTCTAACAATGCCGTGCTGTTCTATTCGGTGGTGTAGGAAAAACAGCAAACCATCTAATTACAAAACAAACGGAATCTCGTTTCATCGGTAATTAAATATTAAATATGTAATTTTGCAATTTTCGTCCATTATAGCAAAGCTCAAGTTAACTGGTCGATTGAAGTGAAACAGTTGACGACACCCGTCAATTGTTTCGAACTCGGGCTAGCCAATCGGAGCTCAGTTGTCACAGTAATGATATGGCAGAATAGTTTTCAAACAAATTAAATGACATTTCGTCTCTATTTCTGGCTTAGAGGATGGAAAAAAAATTAAAGAAAGGCGTTGCCCTAACTATGGAATGAACGTGCATACCTAAACAACAATTGAACGAACAAATGGCGGATTTCTTTAGTGTCGTACCATAATCTATCGATAAGTCATTATCGACATGCAAACATTTAATTGAAGCAGATCAATGTTCCATTTGGGAATATTTTAGGTTATATGGGAATATCCGGGAATGTCACATGAAATTTTGAATTTATTGTTTTGCGTTTACAAATACTCAAATATTTACACAGAAAAAATGTAATTTGAGAGTATAGAAAAAAGAGAAAACTTTGAAATATAACTTCTTTACGTTTCCAACCTCAAGATTAATATTCTCATAGAAAAATTTTGAAACAGATTCCAAATAGTGTAGGTTTTTTTGTATTTGTGCATTGGTATATAATTAATTATCAGTGACTGATTTAAGTGAATTTTTAATACTTCCGTTTAATTTTGGAAGTAAATGAAAGTAATAATATTATCAATAATAATATTATTATCATACGTTTATTTGCTTAAAACATGGTATAACAGGACATGTACCAAGAGACAGTGTTAGTATAAACATGTTTCGCATATATTAAATAGCATGCAAATGTCTGATTATACAATGGCAGTTGACTACTATTGGCCGAGCGCCTTTGATTTGTACAGAAAAATCAACACTTCTACGACCTGAGACAAGTAGTTACGAGCGACTGCAAGTTGTGACAAGCCACGTCAAACGAACACGTTAGCGCTCGCCTTCACTCGGTTAGCTAGGCGAGTGACACCGAACGATGGCAAGGCAAGGCAAGGCAAATAGGCTGTTTGTACGTTGGTGTTGGCCTTCACTCGGCAACGTTGGACCAATATAGTCATTGTATTGCTGGCTTTATGAAATAAGAATTTTTAGTAGTTAGAGTTGTCAGTGGGACAAAATTGGAAATGAGTGGATAATTTTGTTTTCAGGAACTGAGAATGCCTATAAATGAATTGTCTGTCATTGTCAATATTTTTGTCCATTTTATTACAATACATGCGAATAATTCATTAAAACACTTGGAAAAACATTTATTTTGACATTTGATGCACTTCCCTTTGACAACCGTATCATGTACCTCATGTACTGCGAAATGGACACGGTTGGCATTTATGATTACGTTACGTGTTTTCGATTCTCATGTTTGACACAGACAAGTGTAATGCTATCTCTTTTGGCTTAAGACGGCACGCAATAGTTAAACAAAGACAATAACATGCGTATGTTTTCAACGTCGAAGTGCATCATATACATGTAACGTCTGATTTATATATGTCAACATAACATGTCCTTTAGTTTCCATAGTCTAAAATTTCTGGTTATATACTCGATGTCGAAAATTAAATATCTTTCTTTCAGAAACCAGAAAATGCAGAAAAGCGAGTAAAGATTTCGATTCGACTGAAACGTAGTGATATTGTTTATGAAAATTAAATTATTTTATTTACATAACAATATCGATATAAATTCACGGTTAAGTAAAAAAACAAAATGGCAATTCAGTTAAAACCTCAGGTTTTAGCGATTGTTACACATAGGAAATAAAACTATTTTTACGGATTTAAATCGCGTACCTATATTTGTTTTTTCAAACAAACCAACGTTTCGAACCTTTTTTTTAAATAAGTGCGCATTTGACCTCCATCTCACCTTATGCAAAGTGATGATGGGGTCGATGATGTAGCATGCACACCTAAATCCTAAATAATGCCTATTCGCTCTCGCTTTGAAAAGGTCTAAGTTATAGCGTTCGGGGAATAAATCTGCAGGTAGGGAATCTTTACATGTCCCATGATCATGGTTGACTGTAAAGCATATCCGGAAAAATAGTTTCATTTCCTAACACGGGAATTCGTTAAACGAAGTAGTTGCAAGGATTCATGAATCTGGAATCAGTAAGAAATAGCATTTTATTGTGATGTCACAAACTTATGACGCCAACGAATTGGTCCAATTAGTCCTTTTGCCTTTTTAGCTGTCTCGCTTTTATTCCCCCGATACGATATGTCGAGTTTATTGTCTCGCTGTTATTCCCTGTACGTAGAATTGTTTAAGAATAGCGGAAAAGAAAATTTTAATGCAGTTGAAGTGATTAGTCATTTGATTAGGTGAGTAATTTAAACAATGAAAATATTTAAAATTATTCATTAAAAAAGAAAATATTTTATAATATTCAATATATATAATAAAAATATATAATAAAACTTTGTATTTTGTGAGTATTTTTACAAAAGAATGCTTATAGTCTAATGCTTATGAATATCAAATCACATAAATAACTTTTGAGCATTATTCAGTACTATTCGTTTTTGTTGTGATTGTACCATACCAAAGTCGATGTATAGCGAAACGGAAGTGTATATCAGAGACAAATTTCAATAAATTGAGATTGTGATAAACGTTTTGTTAATAACGAAAAACGCATTAATTTAAATTAAACCTTACGAGTACTTGTACCTGTTATCCTTTTTTTGTAGCAATAGATAGAAGGAAATTATAGAGTCTTTTATTAAGCACCATTTCATTCATTTATTTTGTAAGCAAAATAATTTAATAATTATCGTGAAACAAAATCGCAAACATATTTACTACCTACCTTTATGTAATTATTACGTAAGATTAATATATAAGATAAGTATGTAAGATTTTCTGTCTTTACAAAATATTATTTTATATATATATTGTATATTATTTTTATAAAATAATGGAATGTTATCGTCTCATTTATCATCAATTCTCACGATATTTTCCTTTATTGTAATTTGTTTTCTGAAGAAAAATGTTTACGATCACTGGTTCTTTGTTTACAGTTTTTCTAATATAGCAATACTTACTTAGTTGCAAGGAACTTGAGTTACTTAAGAGGGTCTAGTTCATAGACGTTGCGATAGCAGAGGTTACGACATTATAAAGTTATTTTTGAAAAACGATTAACGCACGAACACTCTCTCCCGTTGTTCACATAGACATGTTGTTATTAGTTTTGTATAAGAAATGTTATTGTACAGTCTGCACATAACATGTGTTTCATACATACATACATACATATATATTCTTCACGCCTTTTTCCCATCGGGGTAGGCAGAGACAACAGTCTTCTATTTGCTACGGTCCTGACACACGTCTTTCGCCTCATCAACACTCATCAATGCTTTCATACTCGCTCGTCGGTTAAAGGTAGTCTTGACCTGGCCCTTCTTTAGGATGGCCTCAATTTGGTCATGATAAGTTCTCCTTGGTCGGCCCATACTAACTTGCCCGCTCACACTCGCCTTATAAATGTTTCGTCACTCTTCTTTCATTCATTCTCTCTACATGTCCGAACCATCTAAGCATCCCTTTCTCTATCTTTGTCACTATATCTTCTTCGTGCCTGTTTAGACACTTTCTGGCTGCCCATGAAGGTGTGCAAGGCACCATTCACCTGATTCCCTGCGTTCACTCTTCTTTCAGTGTCGTAACTGCCTCCGTGGCCGAACGGTTATCATGCCGGACTGCCACGCAGAGGTGCCAGGTTCGATTCCCGGGTCGGGAGAAATATTTGTATGGCCTACGTTTGTTTCTCTCGTGACTTTGGGTGTAATATGTGGTTGTCTATGTGTGTGTCCTGGCACCCGCGACACAGGATTTCCCTAGTGCGGGGCTATGTTGAGTGTGTGCGTGCGTTATTATTAAAATGTCTCTTTCACATTTTCCATCACACGTAAGCATAGCACCCAAATACACAAACTCTTTCACTTGTTCCACTTTCTCTCCTTCAATTAATATCGTGCAATTCGTCATATCTTCCTCTCTTTCAAAAACCATTACTTTTGTCTTTCCCAAATTAATTTTCATTCCTTTCCTTTTAAGAGCACCATGCATAATATTTACCATCTCCTGCAACTCCTCTACTGACGACGCTAATACCACCTGGTCATCGGCGTATAGGAGGCACTTTTGAGTAAACCATTCATTCTCAGCCCACACGTACTCTCTTTGAAAACTTTTAAACAATTGTCCATAATTAGGTTGAACAGCCATGGCGATGCTACACATCCCTGTCTAACACGTTTCCCGATATCGAACCAGTCAGTGTAAGCACCATTTATTCTGACACAGGCACTGGAATCCTCATAGAGAGATTTCAGTGCCTGAACTAGACTGCCGTCCATCCCATACATAGACAATGTCGACCACAATTCTTTCTTTAACTCTCTGTCGTAGGCCTTCTCCAAGTCTATAAAAGCGCAATAGACTTTTTGTCTTTTAGCCAAGAGCTAGGTTATGTTTCCCAAGGAGAAGACCTGATTCATGCATCCCATTCCTCTTCTAAATCCCGCTTCCACGTCCCAAATTTTTTCTTCCGTTTCTTTCATCACTTTCTCAATCAATACCTTTGCGTATAATTTGCCGATAATGCTGAGAAGACTGATTCCGCGGTAATTTTTTCAGTCTTGCTGCGACCCTTTTCCCTTATACAATGGTATGATGACAGCCTTGCCCCAGTCTCCTGGCACTCGGCCGCTTGACCAACAAAGGTTGAAAAGGCGGTACAGGTGACTAGCGATCACATCCTGTCCAGCCCTCAGCATTTCAACAGCAATTCTGTCATGTCCCGCAGCTTTACCAGATTTCGTAGTATTCAATGCCTTCATAATCTCTTCCATGCGTATACTTTCATTTTGACTTCCGCTCGTCTCTATGGCGATCTGAGCCTGCATTTGTACATGTTCCTTCTCAAACAAACTTTCAAAATACTCCTTCCATCTCTTTAATACGCATTCTTTTCCTTTCACTATACTTCCATCGTGACCTCTGATTTTTTCCAGTTGCGAGGTTGTGATTTTGCCTCTAGCTGTTTTTAAGGACTTCCAAAACCATTTAATGTTGCTTTGAAAGCCATCAGATAATCTTCTGTCAAACTCGTCTTTCTGGCACTCTTTCTTCCTTCCCACATCATCTTTCGCTACATCTTTTATTCTTTTATACTCTTTCCTTGCCTCGTTTACATCCTCTTTCGTTGCATTTTGTATTCTTTCATTAGTTTTCATAGATAGCTTTCTTCTTATCAGACAGAACACTCCAGACATCTTTGTCCAAACAAACATTCCTCGTCTTCAGCTCTTTTTTCCTTTTGGATACTCCACACACACTTCAATCCTACATACTTCGTCTAGTCCATCAAACCTTTCAATCAGTTTATTAACATATTCATTTTTCATATCTGTCTTCTGCAAATTTTCAACTTTTATTCGTTCTAGCACACTAACAGGTTCCTTCACTCGATGCCGCCACCTTGTAAAAAGACCACCTATTCGGCTAACCACCAGAAAGTGGTCGGTGTCGATACCAACTCCGCGGTATGCTCGCGTGTCAAGCACCTTTTTTCCTAATCTTTCATCCACTATTACAAAATCTATCACACTCCTCAAACTTCCTTCTGCTCTTGTATACATGTGGATCTTTATGTTGAAACATGGTGTTTGTCACTAAAAGATTCCATTCCAAACATACTTCGAGCAGACACTTTCCATTATCGTTCACTCTTTCATCTCCAAACGTTCCAAGCACATTTTCATATCCATCACGCTTCACTCCTACCCATCCATTGAAATCTCCTAACATGATAATCCTTTCATTTCAAGATGTGTTTCATCATGACTAAAGTAGGGTATTTGACAAGTATAAAAAATGTACTTAAATTGGAGATAATATTCATGCGTCCGTACCAGGCATGTGCGCTGCGTCACCGTTGCCGACGATTTTTCCACGCCGCTACCGTCGCGTCGTTGGCCTTGACCGGAGTAAAACAGGCGTGCTGATTTGTTTTAATGTAATATCAGATTCTTTGTTATGTACGTTGTCGTTATACGGCTTAAACCAGTTATCTGATTTTTTTTACTGAAAATGACACTAGGAAAAGCGACAAAATTGCTTATGTAAAATGCAAATTTTAATAAAAGGTATTTCAATAAATAAATTTACAGTACAAATCTATAATCTACTATCGCGATTTAACTTACTGCCTTACTTTACCTTACCTTAGACATTTACTTCATACGTGTTTACTCTACGGCCATCCGTGTGTATATTCTATTAAAAAACAACATTTAACATAGTTTAGTAAAAAATAAAATGTGAATAATTTGTTACAAATTAACATCATCATGGTGTTTATAAGAAATATTCGTTGAAGTTTAATTTGCATTATTTCTAAGTCGCTTTTTTTGGGAAATAATTGTTTTTCCCAGTTTAGCGGCGATATATTTTTAAAGCTGATGTCCTTGTAGCCAAGAATAAAAAATAGTGATTTGAAAAATACATTAATTTCAGAGCCAAGATGTAGTAACAAAAGGTATGAAGCGTACATTTGGTACACCACTCAACAAACACGGTGCTGCCAAAACGTACCGCAACAAGATTCTGGACCACGTTGATTTGGGCGAGCCGTGTTTCAGTCCTATTGAGTTTCGGACAACGACTGGTTTTCATACTCCGAAGCGAGACCAAGATACTGCTACGTCATCGTCGCTTGCCTCTACTTCTATTTCGCCTGTTACGAAGACTTCTAGTGATGAAGAGGTGAGTTACTCATAAGTTTTTAGGGATTTAATCACCCAGCAAACTGCAATGAGAAAAGCGCTAAAACACGCGATGTACAGCCCTGATGCTCTAAAATACTTGATGCTCTTGCCGATCTTTTGATTCTGAGAGCCATTTTACGCATTGAACGGAAAAATGTTAAAGGAATTCCAGCTCATACGTTAAAGATTAAATTGGCTTAAAAGTTTCTTAAAACGTCATTCGCTAATGCTGCAATCATGAACTCTTATCAATATGAATTTTACAGTTCACAAGTTTACTTAAGTTAGGTTAAGTTGGTTAAAACCTCGTCTGGTGTTCGACGAGCCTTACATTTAGAGTCGGGGGATCGTTGTGTCTCTCTTCTCGGGGAGGGGTTGAGCTGGGCGCGGCCAGCCGCTGGTGGAGGCACGGACGAGCGAGAGCGTACCCACCTGCAGCGGAGAGGAGGAACACCCCGGGGGCTTCAGGGTTCAGCCCGATCCCACAAAACCTCGGCTCTGCCCCCGCAGGGCCGGGGTGGGATACACAGACATAATATGTACCTACATTTTGATGTACGCGGGACCCTATGAGGCTATTTTGATAATAAAGGGCTGATGATCTCTTTTTCGACGATCTCGATATCACATCTGCTAAAACTGTGGGCGCCAGATGAGAAGCTTCCGAGTTCGAGAATTTGGTTCTAGTATTAGTGCCTCGGAGTGAATTTCCTCGCTCTGGTAATTACAGGGAATTTCTTGGTTTGAGACCAGATAGTCTTACTGTCTGGCACATTATTATTACATTGATTTGGCCTCGTAGTAAACCTGGAGTCGTTTCACGTGCAAAATAGAATACAAAAATGCATGCAGATAAGGTAGAATTTACAATGTGTTCGGTTGAAATTTACAGTCTGTTGTAAATTGTACCTCATTGCAAAGCTTTTTATGTTCCATGTTAGACCATTCCAAAACTGATATCAGTCGGAATATTCCCTTTTAGGTCCCTGGCTTAGAATAGTTTACTGCCTAGTTTATAAACAGACGTTTCTAAGCAAAGGGGGATATCCCATAGCTGTTACGCTTTGGTAGCATGCATTTTACGACTTACGTACGTTACGTCTTGCTTAAAGTATTTTTGATATCGCCATAAAGAAAATCTTTTTCTGGCTTTGATGTTAGAAATGTACATCCACCATGAAGGCTTAAATAATGAATAAAAAATAAAATAGTACTAGCACTAGTAAAAGAAAAGCATGCCACCTGTAATGATATACATTTTTTATTATCTATTATCTTTCGTGTTGTCTGTTATTATATTAGAATGCCGGTAAAACTGGATTATTTTATAGTTAAACTACCGTCATTGTACGCTTTCTAAAAAACATTGTAATATATTTGTCCATGTGCTCATATAAGTGAGTTATTTTGAATTATTAGTGAGAATCGTACGCCTCATGGAAGAATGGCATAAGTGGAATTACGTCAAACATGTTTATTGCTCCACTAGATACAGAAAAATATAACCCCAACCTCTGCAATTGGAGATTAGATACAGAATAATCTCAGTACAGAGTACTAAAAAACCGACCTCAAAAGTACGTGAATTACATCTACTTGCCAAGTTTTATTGAAATCGGTTACCGGAAAGTGCGCAAACCCGGATTCATCCCCTAGTTCGCCACTACACGGAACTTGACACAGGAGATAATAAAAATCGGTTCTCACTGCTCAAAGTATATTGAGAGAGAAAAACGCCTTGAATTGGAGAATAGCAAAATCAACCATTATAATAATTGCTCCTTATAATATAATTTAGGCGATATTTATAAAAGTGAATCTTCATGCGTGAACAGCCACCCTTAGAGGTGGATGATTTTCTTTAAAATTAAATGGGACCACTATGGAGGTACCCTCTTTCCAACAAAAAGAATCATCAAAATCGGTTCACAAATACCAGAGTTATCGCGTGACATACATACAAAAAAATACAGTCGTTTTGAGAACTCCTTGTTTTAAGTCTGTTAAAAATATGAACGTTAGTTTGAAATAAAAGATAATTATTATCATTATTATACTCTACTTCATTAATACTGAAAGTTACATCAATCGTTTCTTATACACCGTGATATGTTGAGTGTGTGCGTTATTATTTTTATTATATTTTATACCATGCAAGAATATTTCAAATGTCTCTAAACCATAAATTAATTATATCCATTGAGTGTTATTTTAACAAAAAAATATCTTTTGTTGTTATATAAAATGAACTGGTATAGAATTAATAGATTTTTTAAAGTTATTGTTTGAAGATCTAGTTTATGTCAGTCAGATTTACATAAAACTTTTAGAATTATGATAATATGCGAAAGATTAAGAATTTAGTAACAAACCAAATACCATCTTAATTGCCTTTAGTTTCCGCTTCAGATCGCGTTACCGCTTGTAAATTGCCAAGCAATGCATGTTTTAATAGCCACAATCACACGGACCGCTTGCTACGGGATTCGTATAATATAAGAAATTAACATTATAATACAAATAGAATACTACTCATCGTCGCCTTAGAGTGGCAACCTCGCATGCGCGTTTTATATAAAAGAGTTCGTTCAGGGAAGTACTGCCACCTTACTTATTTGCCGCCAAGCAGTAATGTCAGCATTACTGTGTTCCGGTTTTGAAGGGTAAGGGAGCTGGTGAAATTACAGGCACATGGGACTTGGCAACTTACGTCTCAGGGTGACGGGCGCAGTGTCAGTGTCATGTTATGGACAGGCATGTCGCTTATCACAAGGAGCATGACTTATTCGTCCCGTCATTTGATATCATAAAAAAGATAGTTTTAACGAGAAATAATTCGGAATATCAAATTTAGATTGTTAGCGTTAAAATTATTTTCCTTATAACAGCTGCTTCATGTAAACGTGATTTTGATTATTCGTTTCAGAAAAACAATTTCACATCCCCCGAGTCGGAAGCGATGGCAACTTGCCTTGATTGCATAGAACCAAAGAGCGAAGAAAAGATAGGGCCATGCTTCTGCAAAAAGACACCAAACAAATTTATTCTCAAGCGAAGTGCGTCTCTAAAGGAATCCCCACCGAAAAGTCGAAAAGGTTCATTTTCCTTTGCTGAGAAACGAAGCCTTAGTATGTCAAGTTTGAATCGCAGTCGCTCCGTTCAGAAACTCGACTTCAGTATGGATATGAGCGTTGATGGGTCGTTCCATGATCACTCACATGGTAAGTTTTATTCTAAGTAATCCTACACATCTACATTTAATATACAAATGCCAATATAGCTATTTGTACAATAATGTGTGTATTACAGTACTAAGGGTGTTGGTGAACACGTTCAGCGCCAAGGCTCTCCGAGGCAAAAATCGTGGGAATCACATTTTTTTTACTTATATAGTTTCTATTGGTATTCGTGTGTGGAATTAATATTATGAACTGATAGAAATGATATAAATGTAGCTAAAGTATAATAAATATAAGCACTGAATATTTAATTAGTACAACAAAATAATAATTTATAAATTAAGTTTATTGTACTAAATTTGATCTCATTTAATAAATTGAGTAATTAAAAAAAAGGTATTTGAAACAATATATCTACCTTTTTTCTTTTATTGAACCATAACTTCAAAACTATCACAGATATTTATGTCCCAAAAACACTGAACGATTTGTGAGGGCCAGGGTTTTCAAACGCTCATACAAAATGTTCGAAACTATGTATACACTGAGGTACGCCGGCCAAAAGAGGCGAGCCTTATCTGTGTATTATAGTCAGGGATACACTGGCCTGCGACAAAAATATTGGGTGTATATCAAGGTATACACGTGGCGCTGAACGTGTGAAACGTGCTGTTGTCAACTTCATGTTTCAGCGTCTCAGGTCCTTGCAATTTAAAGCTCTGAGTGGCAATGAAACTATTATAGTATAGGAGTATATATAATAGTATAAGGCAATAATTGCTACGCTAGGCAATGCGAATTGACAATGGCGGTTTTGGATCGAGTACGTATACATACTTAATATGAAACAGCTGTAGAGCGCCTTGTGGAAAAGTTCATGCAGGGAAGTGCTGCTACCGTACCTATTTCTGCCGCCGAATAGTAGTGTGAGAGGTAGTGAAACACAGGTACAGGCACATGGGACTTGTCACTTATGTCTTAGGGTGACGGACGCAGTGGCAGTGCCCCTCAGATCTTTGTGACTCTGAGTAGTACTGCAACTATTATGGACAGGTGATTCGCTTACCATCAGGTGCACGTCTTGTTCATCTCGTCACTTAGTTAAAAAAAAGCTGTTTTTGTTTGGGAGATTTCACAAGAGTAAAAGTGATTCGTGTTGATGAATAAAGTCACCCCTTATAAATCTCGTAATCTTTTCAGGTCACCCTGTATATTTAATTATTTAATTAAATACAATAAATCTCGTTCTCTATCATGATGGATATACCTGTTAGTTCTTTTTAACAACAGTCATAGTAAGAAATCGGGTGCGTTGTCCACAGCTGAGTTATATGGCAACAACAACAATCAAATGTCTTCGACTGACAATCGTGTTTTCACCATAATGGAAAGAGATACCTAATTATTATATTTTGATTTACAGCCGACTCGGAATCCAGCCCTATAGAAGACAGGAACCTAAAAAGTGCTTCACCAGAGGACACGTGGTCTATCGTAGAAGAGACCAGCTTAGGAAAAGAATTACGCATCCCAAAAGACATACAGTCGTCTACAAAATTACATGCAAACATCCTTGAAGACACACCCGTAAAGAACAAATGCAAGAGTATAATACTGTCACGTGATATTACAAAAATTCGTGCGCCCGCATTGAGTCCTTTGAACATGTCTTTAGATAATAGTATAGAAAATGACAATCCACTAAGTTTAGAAGATAAGAAGATAGACTTTAACACCGTTGATCTCAAATTTTTGACTGATAATGTGTCGCATTTTGAATTTACTAGCAACACAACTAAAGTCGATAATAATAGCTCAACTAGTTTTAAGAGAGTTGACAGTGGTTTCAATGAAAATACATTTTACGCAAACGCTTCAAGCTATTACGAGAGTGCCATAAAGCCTTCAGAACTAACTGTAACTAATGTTTCTAAGTTGAACTCAAGTAAGACTGCCTTGAAAGAGATCTCTAATTTACCTTGGATGAGAGTCGATAGCGGTTTCAAAGACGAAACTTCAGCAGATAGTATGCATTTTTACTCTACCGATGAGAATTCGTTAAAGGCTGGTAATAATTTCCGTTTTTCCGAAGCACGTTTGGATCACAAAGAGAATGTGGCAACGGAAAACTTTGACAGATTCCTTGTTCAGGCCGGTGGTAAAAACGAAACGATGTCTATGTCTGATATTTTCTCCGACGACATGACATTCAACTGCAACTTTTCGTCGACTCCCTCCAAAAATAAAACTCGAAAATGCCTATGAGTGACTATGTTTTTGATAGAGTGCGTTTTTTATAAGACTTATGAATTTTAGATGCATTTACATAGGCTAGACTGTTTTGACGCTATATTGTAGGCAATTTTAAAGAATTATGTACGTTTGTTTTTTTTTAAATTAGGTATGTATGACTAAGTAGTTAATATTTTGCATGAAATTATTATTTTTATAACTTTTGACATTGACTTACAATTATATGGACGTCGGGTCCGCGCTAAAAAGTGTCCGCACTTGTAAGGCGCTAAATCCTATACAGAGCGCCAAACTCCGCTTTAGTCTTCATTTGTTCGACTGACAGCGCGATACTGCGATGATATTACAATTTAAATTTCGAATAGGTTGACTTGGGACATTTTTTTCGTGGTTTTTGTATTAGACCCGTCGTCCATTTATTTGTAAGTCAATGACTTTTGATACCCTGTTTGCTGTACTTGAGGCAAGTGAAAATTAATAAAGTAATCTTACTTTGAAGCGATGTTTTCTGTATAAGATTGTTAGTAATCCATCGACTGTCAAAAAAATTCTCTACAAAATTTTTACTACAAATCCCTTGACACTACGTCAAGGGATTTGTAGTAAAAATTTCCATCCAGTCCCATATGTCGCGTGAATATTTCAAAACTTTATTGAGTGAAATGGGTCATTGTTTGGGTTGATATTGTATTACATAACAAGCCCTTTTCCCATCGGGCTAGATAGAGACCAAGAGCGTTCCACTTGCTACGGTCTTGTCATACATCCTACGACTCGTCAACACGTATCAGGGCTTTCATGCTAGTCTTACCTGGCCTTTTTTAGAACCTCCTCAATTTGGTCATGGCATAGACCAGTAAGTCAAGAGGACTGCTAATCTCCATAATACAGATCGTAACTCTGAAAAAGGTCAAATTCCGCTGATCACTAGCCTGCAAGTAGTTTATTATGTAAATGGCCATGGATATCAATTAATTCCTATTTAAAATGAAATATAAGTAGTCAGTTTTTTGCTTGTATATTATTCAAATACATATAAATTGCAGGTCGTCGATGTAAAACTGGCACTTGTCAAATTTGGCACTTGTCGCGACATCTGGTATACAAAAAGGTATTAAATACACGACTGCGCTGTCTTGTATCGCGATTAATAATCCTCTTGATTTATCGATCCATGGTCATGGTATGTTCGCCTTGGTCGGCCCTTATCAACTTTCCCGCTCACTCTCGCCTTATGTTTCGTCAATCTTTTTTCATTCATCCCCTCTACATGTCCAAACCATCTAAGCACTGCATCGTCCACACCGCAACGCTCTATTATCACACTGTTCCGTAACTTATCCACCAGAGTCGCTCCGGCCATATTTCTCAAATTCTACTTTCGTGCTTTTTCTGGCGAACCCAACATTCACCACAATACTTGAAATGTTGGAACCAGCACTCCTCTATGCTCAGCTAGTCATGCCTTTTCAGACTTTCCGGCTGCTCATGAAGGCATTCCCTTGATTTTCAATATCACTTTCATATCTTCCATCACATTCAAACATAGAATCCATATACATAACTTGTTCCACTTTCTTTTCCTCTTTCATTATCGTACGGATCTTTTCTCAGGCGAGGTTTTAGGCCTTAGGCCGCCACGCCGGCCCATTGCGGGTTGGGGACTTCACACGTTTTCCGAGGGATGTGAACCTTCGACGTGCAAGTTCCATACCGTTTTCCTTCGCCGAAATGCTCATGGTAAATTTGAAATTAAATTTTGCACATAAATTCCGAAAAACTCAGATGTGCGAGTCTGGATTCGAACCACGGCTTCTGTTTGAGAGTCGGTAGGTCAAACCATTAGAGCGCATTCCCATTATGTGTGTCATAACGTTTTATTAATTGTTGGACGACTGTCGCGTCTAGCTTGTTCGCAAGTCACGAGTAACTGTCGTGGACGTTTATTTTATCGTCGAACGACTGTGGTGTCTAACTGTTCCCACTAGATCGTGACGACTATTCAGCCGCCTTGTCATTTGTACAAGAGAATCGTTTAAAGTTGGGATTACCTGTCGACACATTTTTATCGTGATGTCTTACTTACCGTCAGACGACCTCGTTCTAGCTCTTCTCATTGTCACGACAGTCTGTCGTCGTAACGACAAAAAAGTCGTGAACGACATTTAATCGTGTTGTAGTATATGTGAACAACTTCATTTAAATATACGAGCCACGACACTTTAAACTGCACGACTATCTAACGTCACGATATAATGGGAACGCGCCCTTAAGCTACCACGGCTTCTTCTTTCGTTCAATTAGCATATGTACAATCCATCCTCATCATAATTGCACTATGTATGTTTTAATTTTTTTTGTATCGTGTATACTTTTGTAGCTGTATTGTCACGTGTTGTAACATAGTTTGCGTAGCCGTACTTAGCCGTCTTATGACCCGTTTAATTAGCAAGCCAATATTGCCGTTCATCACGATAATAAATTCTGCTTCCCTTTAAACGACTTGTTAAAATTAATTACCCGTGCTAATAATAGTACGGAACTACGTGTCAACGTCCAACGTAAAATGATCTCTGACAATTTATCCCTTACAAGACAAATGGGCGTCATTTATAAATTGACGAAAATTAATAATTCACATCATAGAATATGACATTTTGATTAGAACTGAGCAAATAACTTTTGTCATCAAAATTTAAGTTACTTTTGCGTGATTTTTCACGATGGAGACAAAAGGGAAGCATTGTCTTGTAAAGTTTATATACAAAATCAAAATTATATTGTTATCGTAGATATAGTGTAAAAGAGCTGGTGTCCGCAAATCGACGTCTAGGTGCCTATGTTGTATGTAAGTGATATTATTACGTCTCATAAAGTTACTTATTTTATACTTGTGTAATCGGATTTTTTAAGGCTAGCCTTTTCCCACCTTTTTTACACGCGAAATTTTTTCAAACATACAAACACACATCGTTGTTCTTGAACATTTCATCAATAGAAAGGTATCTTACAGACATCCCCAATTTGTTTTTATTTTGATTTTGTTGTTTTATTTTGAAGTCTCCGTCAACTCAGTTTTCTTAACGTATCGATAGCATACACTATGTTATCGCGACACAGAACTTGGCCACACTGACCGCGTCACGTAGTAGCCGCGATGCTGAACTGTTCATGAGATATGTTTGACATCGTGTTGAAAGGATTTGATAATCGGCCAAATGCATAGATATAGGAAAAAAGGGGAGATATCTAACGACGCTATGTAAGATCGGGTACCGATGTCGCCACTTTTTAGCTTGTGTGCAATTCAAACTTTACGGTCTATTATCTACTACCATGACTTAAAGATTTTGATTGGGTGGGGTTTAAAATGTGAAAACGACGTAATACAATTTTAAAATTTAACAAAATTAAAATTACAGTCACTTGAGCAAGTGTTATATTACAATATTTCAGTATTTTTTTTCATTCTGGTTCAGCCATTCACCATCAGGTGGCGTTTTAGGAAAAGTGCTACTAGTATATAATAGCTAACTATTACACGTTAGATAGCGCTGAAACTCATTTTCCGTTACGCTAAGAACTCACGGAGCGGTTTTCACCCGCGTCTGCCGCGGGACCACGGCATCTGTAGAATGTAATAGTTAAGTATGTAAAATTAGTAGCACATTTCACGGCGCGTTTTACGCCTGTAGTGGTGACGGTTTCTCGCGGTTGCCGCGGCGGGGTACTAGTAGAACCGCGCAGGACGCGATCACCTGCGCGCTTGGCGGCCGTCGTCGCCCGCGCACTTGGGCGGTCAGTTCAGGCGCAATGTGGTGCAGGCGCACGCGGGGTTAGTTTTCTGTTAACTGCGGGACTTGCGATTAACTCCCACTAACTTCGCGGTCCGTTCCGCAATCGCAACGGTTTCGTGCCCGCAATCGTGGCGGCTACGTGCCCGCACAAACTTGCAGGGTCGGAGTATTGAAATAAAACCGCTGTCCAGCAGCACCGGCGGGCGCAGATGGAAACCGCTCCACGAATTGTTAACCATATTAACCTTAAACTGACTCTACTCAACGAGGGATGTGGTCCTACCTAATCGATAGTTAGAAACCATGTGGCTGTTTTTAATATTAAAAAAATATTCCACTTTTCATACTATACCTACACTGGTACTGGTGTATTATTAAATTAATATATTTATATCAATTATTATTATTTTCTTAATGGCGGCCACTAGCCTTGGGCCAATGTCGGTTTTATAAGAATACTATAAAAAATATGGCGATTGTCGCCAGTGTCAGTTTTCCATTACACGTTACCACGGGTTGGTGAGGTTGTCACTGTCAATTGTAAACTCGAACCGGCAACGAATTTAATAAATTAAATTATGTTGTTGTTTTATGAAGGATTTATGTAATTTTCTATAATTGTTTCTAATTTATTTTGCATGCACATGCAAAATAAAGCCGATTTTATTTTATTAATTTTTGAAATGCATTTGCTATGGAAATTTAAACAAAGTCAGAATTAGTAATAAGAAAACCAATCTTTCGATTTTCCTGCAGCTTCAATCCAACCTTCTTTTATTTTGAACTCATTGGAAAAACTTTAATATTAAAAATACTCTACGTTTAATCTACGAGTATAATGGAACTTAAATATCTAAATCAATAATACACATACATTTTTCTTCAAGCAACAGCGACATACAAATTGACATGAAATTGAAACGGTTTTCCGAAATATGAGTTCTGTTAAAGTTACTGGAAATAAAATGTTTAGTGATAATAATAATAAAATAAAAGAAATCAATTTAACGTGAATGCTTTTCGCTTCGATATTTTAGGGACATTAATTACAAAAATCATAGTAAGAAATTCAAACATTTCAGTAAAAATTTATTGTCGATAAACATCAGTCATCGTAAATGAACACTACATCACTATATTTGAGTCTAGAAATTTCTATGGAGACAAAAAGAAAAAATAGAATAATAATAGAAATAGTAACTAAAAATGCAAATAGCCGGTGGAATGTTATCTCACTGGTTTTAAAATTTTTGTTCAAATTCTTGTATGTACAACGATCGCCATGTCACTGGGGCGATGTTTGTAGGCGTGTCACCTCGATGTGATCATTTTGATAATATCGAGACGACACAAACCACGCCCCCATACCAAATCTCCCCTTTTTTCCTATATAGATGCGCCAGACATACAGGCATTACGATTCGTAAGTAATTGTGGGGTAGCTGCTTTCATGCACCCTAAATTCATTACTGGGAGATGATTACTAGAGA